AAAAATGAATTTTACTCTGGGACTATGTATTACTTGTAAGAAATGACATATATCCTCATAGAGATGATATAAAAGTGTAACATTATAATACCTGTGTTGGTGATGAACTTGTCCAGGTCGGTTGCTTCCTCATAGATAACTTTTGGTGTAAGTATGCCTGAAAAGATACGTAAGTGACCTTCATTGGACGAGCGTGATCATGTTTACCCACACACATGAAAGCTTACCAAGCAAATATGGTAACTGTGCCTGCCCCGTATGCCGAGTACTGAACTCTCCCTGTCTCCCCAGCACCATCAAATGGGAACCGAACTACTCTTGGCATCTAAGTAGAGCTGGGGAGAAGACTCTCAAAAGTCAGTGATAATCCAGAGAGTCATTTTCACGTAAGAACCAACATGCAGCATGCAGCTGGTGGGGATGTAAAATGGTGCAGTTGCTTTGGAAAACAGCTTGGCCGTTCCTCCAAAAGTTAAATTACTGTATGACTTGGCAATTCCACTGCCAGGCATCCACCCAAGAGAGATTACATGTGTCCACACAGACACCTGTACACGAGCGTTCACAGCAGCGCTGTTCACAAGACCCCCAAAGCTGGAGGAAACCCAAATGTCTACCAACTAATGAACAGACAACAAAGTGCGGTATATTTATACGGTAGAATACGATCTGGATGTAAAAATGAATGAGGCTCTGATCCACGCTATAGTGTGGATGAACCTCAAAAACATGATGCTGAGTGAAAGAAGCCAGTCACAAAAGACCATGCATCGTATGATCCCATTTATGTGACGGTCCAGAGCTGGCCAGTCCATAGAGTGGCTGCCAGGGGTCAGGGTGAAGGGAGCAAGGGGAGAGGTTTAACGGGTGCAGGGTCTCCCTTTGGAGGTGATGAGAATGCTTTGGAAGTAGACAGAGCTGACAGCTGTACAACACTGTGCGTGTACCAAATGCCACTGGGCTGTACCTTTTAAGATGGCTAATTTTATGTTACGTGAATTTGACCCTAAATTTTTTTTAAAAAGCAGAGATATGCAACGTGCTGTCTCGTAGAAGTGAACTTCTTCCAAAGAAAACACCTTCCTCAATCGGCAGCTGAAATACTGTTCTGTGCTGACCCAGGAGAAGTGCTTTCTACTCTCATGAGATCAGAGCTTATCTCAACACACAGGTCTGTGTTCTTTTTTCAAATGAATGGAACGTACCTCCTACCACACCATTCTTTATCTTCACGTTGGCAGCACCGTCTTGTTCCTGGTACGTGTCCAGCTCAGTGACGCACTGAACGTCAAAATTCTGCAGGAAAGCCACGGGGGCGTTCCGCAGGCACCGCCCAGCCAGGGACACCTGAGGGTCGGGGGAAATTCCGACATAGATTTATGACCAGCTTTCTAATCACAAAAAAGAGATCACTGTCTTGTAAGTGCTCAGCCTGCACCTGCTGCTGCTGCCGGGTTAGCTCCCACGATGGCCAGGCCAGCGCATTGACTAGCAGAGCAACTTGAGTAAAATGCCTCGTTGACTTGCTAATCAAAGTCTGGAAGCCACTGGCTGAGGAGTCACAGTTCAGTACAGTCGCTAAAGAATGGTCCCTGCCCAGCATCATTTACTTTGCAGAAACATAACTATATTTAACTTCATTTTTCTCTCCCTCATTACAGCCAGGTCTTTGTAAAAGCATAAAAATGGATTCATGTGGGTAGTAAAGAGAAATGGTTTAGCCTCCCATTTTTCCTTCCCATAAATATTTTTTCCTCATAATTTTGAACTTAAAAAAAAATAAAGATTTCACATAAAACTCTAGAGTCCAAATATTTTTCAAAATTCTGCAGTATTACATTAAATATTTATAGCTTATTAGAAATTGGCTATTCAACTAACAGAAGTGAAGAAAGATCAGTCATATCCATGGAAACTGCTAGAAAGTCTTTTAGTTTTATTTAGTAAGTTCACTCTGAGAGCTAGCAAGGACAGATTAATTTAAGAGTGACCATGAAAAAGAGAAAGAAAAAAAAATACAGAAACCATAAACAGTTGAGTGCCTGGAAAGTCCAGAGGAGAAAAATAATAACTTAGGAAGAGATTTTTTTTTTGAGCAATATGAGTTAAATTAACAAGAAGACAAGAAAAAAGAGGAAAGGCTCTAGCATACCAAAACTGAAATTATTACCTGCGGGATGGTAAAATACTCCTTCTCTGCAGTCATAACTGGATCTCCCTGTTTGTAACCAAAGTCTGAAAAGTCTTTTAGGTCAGCATGCAAATACACTTCAGGGGAAGCGCTTTGCCCAGAGGAACTGCAAATCCAGGAGAAAAACCATCACTAATCCTTTCAGCTATTGTGTGCTAAAAATAATTCTTCTTTTCATTTTTTTACTTTGTTTGTTGGGGGGGAGGTAATTAGGTTTATTTATTTATTTTTAGAGGAGGTACTGGGGATTGAACCCAGGACTTCACTCATGTTAAGCATGCGCTCTACAACTTGAGCTACACATACCCTCCGCCCTTACTTTTTTAATTATTACAAAAAAAAATTTGTACTAAATGCCATTGAACTATACACTTGAACATGGTTAATGGTTAATGTTATAGTATATGAATTTTACAATAATAATAATAATAATAATAATAATAAAACTGTTGTAAAATTTCAACAATACAGAAACATAAAAGACAGAAAGAAGCTGAAGTTCCCTCATGAGCCCATTACTCACCCCCTCACTACCCAGATCATCACTATTAACTATTTGTGGTATCAATCAGTTTCTTTTCAGTGAGGCCCCACTCTTTCAAATACTTAACACAAAATAAACTTACTAACTGAAATCTAGCACTGAATCTAGCACAGAGGAATTGAGGCATGGAGCCTCTGGGGAGGTTCTGAGAAAGACGGGCCCCCATGCTAGGGCCCCGTGCCTAGATGACACTGGAGGCCGGGCTGTCGCCAGGGCAGGGCAGTGGCTGACTCACACGGATCCGAGGTAGAAGAGTCCCAGGAAGGGCGAGTTGTCCAGCTGCACGCACAGGAACGGAAACCAGTCGGGGACTCCGTGCGCCGTCTGAACGGAGCAGAGCTGATCAAAGGGAGGATTGACATCTCCTCCAAAAACGCCGGGGAAACAGGAGTCCCTGAACAGTGCTGTTAAATTTGATGAACACTCCTGGAAAGAAAATGTAAAGCTGCAGTGGCAAGACTCAAGCTCCCTGTGCCCGCCGTCAGGATGTCCTGGCCTGTGTGACGAACACGCTCTTTAAGGCCGGCAGGTCACCACCCAGGCAGTGAGGGACAAGCACGACCTCCATCCAGGCTAAGAGAGCTCTATGCTCACAGAAGGTAAAATTGGCTAGAATGTCGTCAGCTCCCTTATGAGCCTCCAAGTCAGGAACTTCAAACCTTCAAGGGAATCACAACTTGACTGGTGGACATAAGACACACCCACAAAAAAGCAACGTGAAGAGAAGAAAAGATAATATGGAAGGGACTCCAGATGGAGAATAAAACTGAGAAACTTCCCTTTTAATTGTCATCATCATTCAAATCCCTAGGCCAGAGAAACCTAAGGGCATTTAGAGTGAGGGCAAAACAGTCCATATTCCACAAGAATCCTCGAAGCCCTGTTATTATAACACAACCCAACTAATACCATCGAGAAGTCACTTTATTCACGCTTTCATTTATTCATCTGTATTCATCCTTGATTCACAAAGGACCAAGAGAGCTAAACGTTAAGTATGTCTTAAATCCCTTGTTTACTGAAGATAGAAGAGCAAATGATCTATTATTATAAACAAGGACAATTCAAATTAAGAATTGCTCCTGTCTAAAGTGGTAAGTTGCAGCTATCTGAAGATGTCACCAATTCAGGATCCTAAACATGCCAGTAGTTGGTGCCTATACATATATATGAATATATACACCATATATAACAGACACTAAGGAAGTTAGAAACAGGGCACAGTGATGCAGCCTGCAAGAAAGAAGGAGAGAACACCACTTGACATTTCTGTTGATACCTGAACAGACTTATGATCGGCTGTACTTTTGAAATGAAATATAAGGAGGAGGGTACAGCTCAGTGGTAGAGCACATGCTTAGCATGCATGAGGTCTTGGGTTCAATCCCCAGCACCTGCATTTAAAAGTATTTGAAACTAAATATAGTTTTTATTATAAATATAACTGTTAGTGTGGGAATCACAGTATAAATGAAGACCCTACGCTTTCCTTTTCTGTTTTGTAAAACCGTGACTTAACGGCACTCATCCAAACGTGGGAGTGATTGGGGTCCTGGGACATGTGTCTCTTTTGCATCTTATTCCCATTTGACCTAAAACAGGGATTAAAAATGTGTTTTGGACCTGGCATTGCACAACGATTTATTTGATTTGACACCAGGAGCGCAAGCAACAAAAGAAAAAAAATGGATCAACTGGACTTCATCAGATTAAAAACCTTTGAGGCTTCAAAGGACACCAACAGGAAAAATGGACAAACTATACAATGGGAGAAGGTTTTTGCAAATCATATCTCAGATAAGAAACTAGCATCCAGAGAATATTATGAGCTCTTATCACTTAACAACAAAAAGAAAACCCAACTGAAAAGGGGCAAAAGGCCTAAACAGACATTTCTTCCAAGAAGATATTCAAACAGCCAATGAGCCCATGGGGAGATGTTCAACGTCATTTGCCACTAGAGAAATACAAATCAAAATCGGAATGAAGTACCACCTCACACCCACCTGGATGGCTAGAATCAAGATTACTGTAACGCTCTTTGGTGAGGATACAGAAAGCTGCGACCCTTATACACCGCTGATGGGAATGCGAAATGGCGCTGCCGCTCTGGGAAAAGTCCCTCAAAAGGTCACACACGCAGTTACTGTATGACAGAGCGATTCCACGCCTCGGTAACACATCCAAGAGAAATGGAAACACACATCCAGACAAAAACCTGCATACAGATGTTCACAGAAGCATTATTCATCATAGCCCCAAAGTGAACAACCCAAATGTCCATCAACTGATACACGGATAAGCGTGAGGTGAGACATCCGTCCGAGGGAATGTGGTTCAGCCACACAAAGGAATGGAGATTGACACGTGCCACCTCACAGACGACCCTTGAAAGCATGATGCTAAGTTAAAGAAGTCAGACAACGGGTGGGAAAGGATAAATTCGGGAGTTTGAGATTTGCAAATGATAACCACTATATATATATATAAACAATAATACATAAAAACAAATTTCTTTTGTACAGTACAGGGAACTATATTCAATATCTTGTAATGATCTTTAATGAAAAAGAATATGAAAACAAATAGATGTATGTATATGCATGACCGGGACACTGTGCTATACGCCAGAAATTGACACGTTGTAACTGACTATACTTCAAAGAAAGAAAGAAAGAAGCCAGACAGAAAAGGCCACATAGTGTAGGATTCCACCAACACGCAATATCCAGACTAGACAAATCCTTAGGGACACGAAGTAGATTAAAAGTGGCCCCGAGGATGAGGGGCAGGAATGGCAGTGATTGCAAATGTACACAAGAGCCTTTTGGGGGGGATGATGGAAATGTTCTAAAATTAGAAGGTTGTGGTGGCTGTATAACTCCATCAAGTTACTACAAATCATTGAAAAATGTATTTTTTTGCCTTTTTATATTTTTAAAGGCTTCTATGTGAGACACCAAAACCTTCCTCCCAGGATAATCATCCCAATCAGGATTTTATCCAAAGAGATACATTTCTTTCATCCATAAACTCTTAAGAAAATACTCAATGTGAAAACAATTTGTGACACGAAATACAATCTCAGTTCTGAAAGAGCATCCATGCAAAAGCTGTTGGTGGGAAACTGCTGGCGCTCCTCACACTGGGTACCGCGGCTTCTGTGCCCCGCCGTTGGGAAGAGCATACCTGATCGCAGCAGCAGCGAACGTCACAGGCCCCGGCTGTTAAGTTGCAAGGACAGGGACCGAGCGGCTGATACACCTGGTTGGGAATAACAGTCACGTTCTCTGCAAAGTACAGACAACAGAGAAGTTCAGCTGCAGAACAGGCTGGCAAAGCACTGCCACACTTCTGACCTTCAAAGAAAGCAGAATCACTACCTTATGGATCCCCATGACCAATATTCCACAGCAAGGAATCCCTGAAATGAGTTGCGCATAAAACATATCTGAGAATTTGACACAACATTGTAAAATGATTATAACTCAATAAAAAATGTTAAAAAAAACCATTTCTGAGGTCTGAATCAACTCCTCCAACAAACACCCAAATATAAGAAAATACATTAGTTTTACAAACCAAAGAAGTCACAGAGCCTTGGATATAAATAAGCCACTCAGATTTACAAGTTAGGGTAAATGCAATGCATTGATTTTACTTTCCCATACACTGGACAATCCTTTTCATAACACAGACTGAGATGTAGCATTTACTCCTTCAAGTTCATTTCCTTTTTCAGCAGATAAAACTGAAGCCTTGGTGACTCTCAGGTATGGAGAGCAAGCTTGTGGTTACCAGGGGGAGAAGGGAGTGGGAAGGAATAAATTGGGAGTTCGAGATTTGCAGATACTAACTACTATATATAAAACAGATAAACAACAAGTTCATGCTGTATAGCACAGGGAACTCTATTCAATATCTTACAGTAACTTATGGAGAAAAAGAATATGAAAACGAATATATATACACGCATGTATGACTGAAGCATTGTGCTGTGCACCAGAAATTGACAACATTGTAAACCAACTATACTTCAATAAAAATATATATATTAAAAAAAAAAACCTGAAGCCACAGTGACACTTCAGACCGCTTGTCTGGAACTCATCTGACCACAAGGTCACATTTAATTTTGTTACACACTCAACCTCAAATCCAAATCTTCACATCCTGATTCTGGCTCAAGGGTGGGAGAAATAAGTCATTTTTTGCATTGACTGGAAAAGGACTGTTATATTACATTTCAGCCTCCTAACTCAGGATGCAGAGACTAATAGTTCGAAGACTATATAGCAATGATTTGTTTAAACTCTATGTAACGGTTAACGTCAAAGACAGCAGAAGCATCTAAAGAACAACTAGTATACATTCCATGTTACAATATAGTAGAACCCTAGTTCGTCGGGGGATCAGGAGTAAGAGGGTGAAGCATCAGACCACGTTCCAAAGGTAAGGGTCCAACTCTCCGTATAATCAAACCCGTGCGACATAAGCAAGGCATGTGGAGTAGGGTTTTACTATGTGCTATAGATAGACGTTTGTGTGTCTATCTATATGTCGCCTACGTCGTTTGCTAGCTTGTTGTCACTAGGCATGCCACATACCTCCTGTCTGTCCTTCCATCCTTTTTCTTGTCCTGATCTCTGTCTGACTGGGTGCAACATTTTTCATACCTTCACGGGGTCAGAGTGGACATCCCATAATTACTGATATACAAAGACTGATTTTCCTGAGTTTGGATAATTGTACAAAGACATTCTGAAATATTATCTAAACATAGTCAAGCAAATTAGAAAAAAAAAAGTCACTGCTTTGAACAGTATAGTTACCATTAGTCCCTCCATTTGTTTAATCATCCACTGAATGTTTTTTTTTGGTTTGTTTTGAATTTTAAGCATTTGAAAATGCTTTTTCTTCTAAGAACAAAACTTCAAGGAGGGAGGGTGCAGCTCGGTGGTAGAGTGCAGTGTTTAGCATGCACGAGGTCCTGGGTTCAATCTGCAGCACCTCCATTAAAAAATAAAATAGATTCACCTAATTACCTCCCCACCTCAACAAGATGTTAATAAAATTAAAATAAATTTAAAAACTTCAAACCTTTCGATACGTAAGAGAGTCACATGGTTCAAAAAAATCAAAAGGATACAAAAACAGGTACACAATGAATGCCCTCACTCTTGGCCCTTTCCTGTTCCCACATCACCCCCAAACCTGTAGCACATCGCTAGCTTCTCGGAGAGCCCTCCTGAATTTCTTTATGCAAATATAAATATATATTCTTATCTCATGCTATATGCACCTATCTGCACCAGCCTTTTGCACTTAGCAATGTATCTTGGAGATCTTTCCACACAAATATACTAAGGGCAGAGTAGCCCACTGAATGGTATTATCATAACTTATCCTCCAAAACTTCTAAAGCCAAAAGCGTGGAGGACCACAGTTAGGGGATGTGATGTGGGAAGAGGCACCATGGGAGTCTCAAAATGCCAGACTTCCGCTACTGAAGAGGGACACTTCTCCCTACATCTTAGGTGACTGTAAAGGCGAGAGATGTTAGAGGTTGTTGCAGGGGACAGGGAACATGCTGGTGGCACGTATCGAAGTGGATCCCTCAACATTAGCACGTCTTCTGTTCCTAGGACACTGCCACGATATGAAAGGGAGAATACTACAAAACCACTTTCTCACGTCCAAAGATGCGTGTGCACACTACTGTTTGTTGTAGCACTGGTTTCAGTGTATCAAAAGTTGGAAGACTAAGAGACTAGTTAAATAACAGTATATCCACACAATGGACTACTATGTAGCTATTAAAAAGAATATAAGAATTATATTAAAAAGAATACGAAAAGAAAGAGGTGACCCTATGTGTAATTGTATGAAACAATTTCTAAGTTATACAATTTTTTGAAAGGTAAAGAACAGCAAATTGTGTGTTATTATTCATGTGTTCTTAAGGGAATATGTGCTTCCATAAGCATAATTTAGCAATTCCTCTGGGAGAGGAAGCTGGCAGTTAAAAGCGTTCACTTAAAATCTGTTTTTCTATAAACTCATTCAATAGTCTTTGCTTTGTTTTAAGATGGAGTCATAGGAATCAACACAAAGAAATAATCTTTACTTTCTCCCAAACTGGATTTAAGGCGGCTTACAGAGAGAGACAACCAGATGGATACAATAAATCTTAAGTAAAATAGAACAAAGTGGAAACTTTCAAATGAAAGTTTTCCTACACAAAAGGAAAATCAGTGGAAAGCAAGACGGACTCACCAGTGGAGTACACAAGTTGCATGGCCTACACTTAAAATCAAACAGATAATGTTTATTTTCTTTTTTTCAGCTAATATTTAAAGAAAACCTCTTGATAGTCAAAGACTTTACTTGCCTGATGCATTATGGGCCAGGGAAGAGTTGGCGTAAATTTCCACTTGAATGAGAAGGTGTGCTAAACAGGACGAATTGCGAGCCGCTGAAACCACAAGAGTTTGGACAACACACGGGGACTCAGAGAAGTAATCTGTCTCATTAGAGAAACAGGACTGCAGACTCCTCTTCAACCTCACTGTCACTTCCAACGAATTCTGCAAGGAAAATATTGCTATACTTTTTCTAGTGACTCAAAACAGTGTCTATAATTATAAGAACACAGAATGGCAAGTGCAATCAGCCTCCGTTCATTTCACTAAAGGAGATATGTTCACAAGGATGACATCATTCTTTTCAGTTCTACCCTGTAAACCTATGGCAAGACGCAAGCCCTGATTCCTAATCCTCACTTTAACATAAAAGCAAGCAACCTGTGGATACTTAGAGAAAGCTGAACATAGGTCTGATAAGTTTACTCAGTTTGTTTAGCATCTTTATCATCCTACCAGCAGAAGATTAAATACACACCAAAAAGTCCATGAAAACAGTTCCCAGTTTCTAGGATGCAGGCAAGATCTGTCTTTCTCATCCTTTATCTGCAGAGTTGATGCTCTGCACATACTGGGCACTCAATAAAACACTTATTAAGTGGAAAATATTTAATCTCTCCAGACTTCAGTGTTCTTACACATAAGCTCAGAGCTGTGGGGCAATCAGTGGTTTACAAAGCTTTTTCTGAGTCACAGATCTATTTGGTAATCTGATGGAGCTGGCAACCCTCTCATCAGAAAAAAAATGCGTGCACACACACAGTTTTACACACAATTTCAGAGCGTTCACAGACTACTTGAAACTCACCTGAGGACCCCTAAGAACCTCTGGGCTGGATGAGTGTCTATGAGATCTGACAGCCCACAGTTTCATGATCTAAGCATTGAGAAAGCTCTGTCTTGTCCAATCAAGAGAGCCCTGCAGGAACACTAGCCTGGGCCTCTGCAGATGCTCCCGAAGAGGTTTTTACCTCTGGCCTTACCACATTGGGGGTGACAGTCAAACTCCAGTCTCCTGTCTCATTGTCCTGCGCTCCACAATATGGAACTGGCGATAATCCTACGGCAGAGAAGATAAGAATGCAAGGCGGTATTGCCCAGCAGCCAAGGGGGTGCACTCTTGAGTCAGGCTTTCTAGGATGGAATCCCTTTCCAAGCCTACGATTGGACCCTTTGCAAACTGTGACGTTGGACAAGTGTACGGTTTCAAGCTTTCTTTTACTGAACCTGTCCGTCGGTCCTCTGGGCCCCGGCACCCTGACTTTGCAGGAGGCATTGGTAAGGGACCCAGGGGATGCCACCTGGCCAGGCTTCCTGGGCGGCCCAGGCCTAGCCGACCCTCCTCCCTCCCCACAGGAAGGCTGGACTCTTTACCCATCTCGTCCTGCAGCAGGGCCAGGGAAACGGTCACATTCTCCGTGCCTCCGACCAGGGACGCGCTGACCGCAGGGCCGGACATGCGGATGACAGGAGGGATGAACACTAGGCAGGGAGAGGCACAGGGGGGAGTTAACAGCTGCAGAGTCCCTGCCACGCGGGGTGGTGGCTTTCTTTGGCGGTGCCTTGCGGAGCTCCCGGAGGAGGCCCCAGGCCCCAGTCTGGCCTCAAAATCCTCGTCCCCTCCCCGCCTCAGCCCAGGTCCCGCAGGCCCCTGCCCCGCCGCGCACACACACCCAGGTCCCCCCGCAGCGGCCTCCAGACGCCCTGCAGAAGGAGGAGCCCCCCCCAGCAGAGGGAGCGGCGGCGGCAAGCGCATGCCTGCGGTCTCGCCGGGTGGCACGACAGGACCGGGCCCGTCTTAGCAGCCTGGAAGCAGGGGGACGACAAAACGCGGCCACCGCGTCCCGGCCGCCATCGACTTGTCAAGCGAACCCCCGGAGCTATGGCAACCGCCAATCCGCCGCCGACCTGGCTGCGCGGCGCGCCGTGATTGGACCAGCGGCAGAGAGAGCCCGCCCCCAAACCCGGCCGCAGCATCGCGGCCCCGCCCACAGGCCGTCAGGCCGCCGTGCTCCTTCACAGCACAAAAAAGTAAGAGTCCGCGTCCAGTTTAAAAACTGGAATATGAAAACGGATACATGTACATTCATGTATGTAAATTCATCAAGCATTGTGCTGTACACCAGAAATCGACACAACATTGTGAACTGACTATACTTTAATAAAAAACAAAAATTTTTTTTTAAGTAAAAGCTGGAGTTCCCTCACCGAGTCAATTCAATCACACTACAAGAGCGAGCCTGCAGGCACTGGCTTCCAAACAGGCGCCTTAATAAACTTGATTTTTATGGGGATTTGCGGGGAGGGACAAAAAGAGGGTGAGGCTTCAGTGCTGTAATTGTGTTGATTTGTTTCATTTTTCTCCCAGTTTCTGGAAGGTTTTGATTATTTGTACCAGAGAGCTCTCAGCACTCCGAAAGCAGGTCTTACCAAAGAACACACGAAAGATTTCGCCTAGCATTACGACAGATGCAAAAGTATCAATTCTACCTGGAAAAAAAAAATTCGTTTTTCTTATGTCAACAGCCACAAAGCATCTCAGGCGTTGTTACAATTCGGTGACTAAGTGCAGGCTCTGAGGTCCCACTGCCTGGTTTGGGTTTCACCTTCCTTCCATGCTAAATGACCTGGGAAAGTCACTTCACCTCTCTAAGATTGGGTTTCCTCATCTGTAAGAGGTTAACAGTCTCTTCCAAATAGGATTGAGTGAGAATTAAGTGAGGTAATGTATTTAATGAGCTTCACCAGTTTACCAATGCCTGGCACGTAGCAATCACTCCAAAAAGTGGAGGGAGCATGCTTTACGTCTCTGCTTTTAGTGGCATTAAGCTATTCAGCCAAAAGGGAAATGTACTATGGAATTCTAGGGCATTACAGTCAAAAGGAAGTTTCAAAAGTGAAAAACAATAGTCTTGAAGTCAATGATATTATTAAAACTCAATTACCATTGAGAATTTAATCTTAAAATTCTTTGTGATAATTTCTATTTAT